TTTAGTTATTCTTTTGTATTCAGCAGCAGAATATTTTCATCAGCACACCCTACAAATGGACTTCTCTTCCACTTGATGAGTCATGATTCCACCTGAGTCTACAGAGTGGATTTCAAAGAAATAGCTATAGCTCAGTTCCACAAGTGACACCTAGCCACCAGTAACTGTCACGGTCATTATGCATGGGCACAACACACTAGAGCTTTGTGCAATATCCTATCCTCAAATTGTTAGAAGGGCTGGTCATTTACTTGCCATTCCAGTATTTATCTTATGTTTTACTCTTAGTACTTCTTTGCTAGAATGAAAACTTTTTCTTAGTTCAATTGTTTCGAAACATTTAATTTTCTGAATATTGCTTAATCTTAATTTTTGTTCTAAGAGTTATACTGTATCTTTGACTTACAATTTATTTAAAAGACATTGTATGATATCTTCTCCTAGTATTAGAAACTTTAAAAAGTATATTTCCATTTTCTGTTGACTTTCAAAATAAAAACAAAACAGAGGTTTGTAAAAAAAAAAAAAAAAGAAAACATATTAGGGCCCATAAAAGACTGTGCCCCAAATTCTGCATTTTGTTCTTATCTGTCTCATATTTCTCTCTACCTTTTTATCTCAATTTTTCATTTATCTCTCTTCACTCTCCACCTATGCTGCCATTTTCCATCCTCCACAACAAATCCCTAAACAGGGTAGTTTCTCTGTTCCCTGTTCCTGATTGCACTGCAAGCTTCATCTCTCCTCTACTCAACTGTATTCCTCCACAACTGTGTGTCCACCAGTTAGGAAAATGTAGTCTGAAGTATCAGGTCATGTCTCCTCCTCATTAGCCCTTGCCATCCAAATCAGCCCTCTGTAGTCATAGGGCTGAAGAAGAGGGTATTATAGTTTAGATCTAGTATGTCCCCCAAGGCTCATGTGTCCAGAGGTGGTTTTCAGAAGGTGGTTGGATCGTGTTGGATGCTAACCCTCATCAACAGATTCATTATAGCTGACCTGCTGTGAGGATGTGGGACCTGTTTTAAGGAAGTATGCTGGGGGTATAACCTGGAAGGGGATATTCTCATCTGTAGCCCCTCCCTTGCTCTCTCTACTTGACAGCTGTCAGAAAGTAAGCAGCATCGTGCTACCTTGGTGTTTCTGCCTTGGAGTCAGAAATCATAAGATGAAATAGAACTTTTCTCCTTTTCATTGTGTATGTCCGGTATTTTGTGCCAGAGATGAAAAAGCTAAATAATAAAGAAAGGAACCAGCATTTTCTGAGCACAGCAGAAACCTGTGAACTTTGCAGGCCTCGTCCCACCAAATCCTCAAGATGCTTTAGATACACAGATAAAGGAACTGAAACTCCTTAAAGCCAACAGATACAAGAGCCAGAATTTAGACATGAGCCACAGTAACTCATTTTTTTTGACAAATCTTAATTAACGAATTACATTCTGATGTTATAATATGAATGATTTCTCTACAATGAGCTGCTGGTTCCACATCACCTGAACATTTCTCCTCTTGTATCAGTGTTTTTTGTGTCCAAGATAAGCACAGAGTTTACAAAGGAATCACCCTGGAAAAAACTAACTCCCAAGCTCTTTACTCTCAACTCTAGTTCCCCACATGCTTTGCTCTCCTTGCACATGCATTGAAATATACTGTAGTACATAGTGTTAATACTGGTGCAGAATTTAGAGACCTAAAATCTGACACTGAGTTTCAAAATCTTATCATGAGATAAATATCCCTCTTGTTCACCAGAAGGAGAAGGAATAAAAATGAAAAGTCGGTTCATTTAATAATCACCCAAATGAACAGGCATGAAAAGGGCTGTGTGGCTGTTGTGATGCCATCTCCTTTCTGTTCTGTCTGAAGCTGACCCACCACTTAGGACTTTGGCTTTTTATTCAATCCCGGGTCCCCTCTTCCTGCTTGACATGCATCTCATGAGCTGTGAGTTCCAGACATCCTGAAATTACCCAAAGGAATCCAGGCAAATGTTTTCTCCTTTGTATGGATTTCAAGAAATATAAACAACTTCTCATAGATCATCAGGTCTCTTTCAAATGAGTTGAGAATCTACAGCCCAAGGGTCAAGGGTAGTGATTATAACCTATTATTTTTTTCAGGGACACTTCCCCTTTCCAGCTTCACTGCTGAGCTGCACCCAGGAGGGGATTATTTTTTATTTATTTTATTGAGAAACAAAGAGCAATGAGAGTTTCAAAACCAATTACTAGCAGTTTCAATAATTAATACATTGCATATTGTTGTCTTCATAGTGGTTATTCTTAGTACAAGAGACAGACATGATATCCTATCCAAACACTACTAGTACAAATCTTTGTTCTCATTGAATTAAGAGAAAGTAGCTGTATATCTATCCTAACTATTTTGTATATAGAGATACAAAATGGTCCTTCCTTTGTATCCCCTTTTTCTGTTTAGTTTTGTCAGAGATGGCTATTTCATTGACATTTAAATATTGTAGATGCATGAATTCAGCAAAATAATCCAATATAGTCCAGTAGTCCATAATAGCAGCAGGTTGTCTGTAGGACTGGCAATGTCAAAAGTTGTTGACTTGAGCCTCTTACAGCTTAGCATATTAATATGGCTTTACTTTTGATACTTTGCTTTTATAGTTTTCTATTGGATGATTAAGACCACAATAAAACAAGACCTGTATAACAAGAAATGTAACTTTTGTATCTAACAAGGTCAGTCAAGTACCCTCAGGATTTACCCTGAAACCCTGTACTGCAGTTTGCAGATCCTCTCTGAGTGTCAGCCATGTGGATGAGTCACCACTATTGCTTGACCAATTTGCTCTCTATGACAAACTGAGAGAATGTTTTCTCTCCATGTGACTCTCCTTAGGCACACTATACATCATCGATCACTTTCCTCTGTGGCCCCATAATCTCCTTGATCAGAAAATTTGGGACACTGAGTTACATGATGTTACAGTACAGGTTCTCCTATGTCCTGAGTCCTCACTGACCTTGAAAGGCTGGGGCCATAATGTTTGCTGTCCTTGCAGCCCTTCTTTTTCTCTAATTTTTGGTCTGCAATCTGAAGTTACATAACCTATTATTGTTTGCATTTTAAATGACCCTTAAAGAACTCATGTGATAAAAGCTTGGTTGCTAGCCCATGGCCTGTTGGGTAATTAAGAAACCATTAAGAGGTGGGGCCTAGCAGACATAAGTTAGGTCAGAGGGTATGTGCCCTTGAAAGAGATACTGAGATCCTAGTCCCTTCTTCTTTCAATTTCAAGATGTCATGAAATAAGCAGCTTTGCCCTACCTACACACTCCCCACCACAGAGTTTGTGCCTCACCAGCTGAAAAACAATGGAGCCATGTAACCACAGACTTAATGCCTCTAAAACCATCAGCCACAGCAAATCTTCCCCCTTTTAAGTTGAGTATCTCAGCTATGATGTCATAGTAATGGAAAGTGGACTCACATTCTACTTCAGAGAAAAGATTATGAGCTATGGAGTCAGAAGATTTGGATTCAAGGGTGAGCTCTACCTATCACTAGTATATCTGAAACCTTATGAAAAACAAAGGTATGGAATGTTTTAATACTGCTGACTATAGGATCTTCTATGTAAGGTTTCAGATCTGACAATTATTTCCATAGGCCTGGGAATGGAGTCTACATGCAGGAAATGCTGAGCTCTACCTTCTCCAAAGAAAAGTATCATTTGATCTTCCAAGCAAACTGTTAGGGCAGACAAAAAGATGTGGGTGCTTGCTTTAGCAGCACGTATGCTAAAAAGAGAACAATATAGAGAAGATTAGCATGACCCCCAACAAGGATGACATGAAAATTTATGAATCATTCCATATAAATGTCCATTAGTGCTGTTTTTTTAAACAAAGAAAAATATATGTGCAGATAAAAACTAGTAAAGATAATTTCTTTAAAAAAAAAAGAAAAAGAAAAAGATACAGCATGTTGAAAATGCTGGTGAAATTTAAAATGGGAACACATAATGTGCCAACTGTCCTTTGAAACTTGAAGCAAAACTTTCTAATCTTATCATGTCACCTCAATGCTTCCACTAACCTGTGGATTTTTCCCATGAATCTAGCTTTGCAAGGAATTAATGAGGTTATAGTTCTATGACATTTCCTCCATATTATTTTTCATATTTGTTCCCTCTTATACTATATGTACATATGTTACTTCCTATTTAATTAGCTATTATTCTTGTCTTTCTTGTGTTTACAGGCCTGGGTAGGAACATAAACGCAATGTTTAATCTAGTATAAAATTTAGGAATAAAGACATTTGTGATAGGAATCATCTTTCCTTCTTCCCTAGCTGTTGAGCTGCCAAGAGAGTTCAACAGCTATAAATTGGAGCCATACTACTTGCTTGACCAGAAGCCAGAACAATAGGAGACAAGGCAAGGTGCTATCAACAGGATGAAAAGGGGAAAGAACACTGGAGAAGTCAAAGACTTGAGATTTGTTGCTGGCTCTGCCAATAGCTCACCATGCCTCTCATCTCTTCTTGTTTATGTAGAGCACACTGCCTCATTTTGAAAGGTTAAGTATAACAAAAAGTACAGAACAAAAACAGCTAATATTTCTGGTGTTTTATATGATTCTACATTTTTAATAGATCAGGCCTTAGAGATATCTCTTAAAGTGGTATATGATTCAGTCCATTAAACCCCAAATTCATAATCACACTAGGCAAGAGTGACTCATTTCCTAAGCTCAAGGTGACACATATTTAGATTAAGGAGAGCCTGGATAATGGAGCCAATGACTTATCCCCATTCCAGATGAACCACAGATCCCATTCTGCTATACATGAAACCCATTTATAGCTTTTTCAGACTAAGCATCAATTCACTTAATGTTAAAAACAGTTGACAATGAATAAAACACAAGGTTTGCTTCAAACTACCAAGAGTGTGCTTCTTTATAAATCCTCCCCAAAAGGTCCTGATGGCTTACAGCTCATATTGGAGTCATAGAATGCACCACATTTGCCCCCGGGTCTTCTCAATCTAGTAACACATTAGACATTTGGGATGTACATTAATTCTCTCACACCATTCACTGTCTTATACTTCCAAAGAAGTAGTAGCTCAGTGCTAATGAGGTCAAAGTCCCAGGTTTGATTTCTCATGAGCACAAGTTATTTCCTTTCTCTTGTTTAGCCATATAAATATCACCAAATCTTGCCAGTTTTAACTATTTTCCTTTCTTGGACAAATTTGTGGAGAGGGGGAAATGACCATTTATTTGCCTTGGCCTTAATGTCCTGCTCTATAAAATGAAAATGGTAATAAACTCTTTTATTTATCTTACAATACACAAAAAAGAGCCAAGAAAATTATTTGTTCCTTCCACTCAGTGTGCATCTGCCATTTCATAATAACACCCCAGTATTTTTTCTAGAGAGCTACCTCCTTCCTGTTTTGTGCTGTAAGTGATTTGATATACTCCCTATGTTCAGGGATGGATCCAGGTCACTATCCTCACCCATCAACCTCAGTCCAAGTTTTGTCCACCATAATTATGTCAGAATTTACACAGGCCCACATCAATCCAAAACTGGTCTGAGAACTTTCCTGAAACAACTGTTGCAGAGCCTTCTCTACAGACTTAGAAACTGAAAAGGTAGATCAGCAGTCTTAGAATCACTCTAGCCTACAAGGCCGCCTGAAAACAGAAGCAAAATGAAGATGTCAGAACCTACAGGAGTTCAGAGACAGCTTCTGGTGACTCTGTCTATGTAAGCCCCTGGCTCTACCTTTATCTGAAGGTAATATATTTGGGGCCTGCTCATAAATCCCCTTTTCATTTAAGCCAAGGAAGAGATGGGTTCTATCACCAAAGCTGGAAGAATCTTGATTATCATGATTCTAGAAAGCAAGAAAAAGGCTCAGAAACTTCAGGCCCTGCAGGTAGAAAATGTGTGGAGAGAGCCTCCTGACCCATGGTGATTTATCCCAGCAAGTCAGTAGTAACTTTTTGGTGGGGTCGTGGATAAACTCAGAAAACCTGCACCTAATGACGGAGACCAGACTTATTTGACTTGCAGCCCTCAGTGCACCTTACTGGGGCCTGAGCACAGCTGGGAGCCACTCAATGAATCTAGCAGCTGCCCTCAGTTCTGAGCTCAGCTGGCCCTTATCCAAGATGGCTCCCAGCCAATCTCTTTCTCACGTTGGCTGACTAAGCCCTCAGCATTCACTGATAGGTAGTGCAGCCTTTCATGTTCATTGCCCTCATCCACTGCTGCATCTCTCTGTGGCGGCCTCTGAGTTCATCGGCATTCACTGTGTATCCACAGGTTTGAACCACTTCTTACTCATGAGTCACATCTCAGAGAGAAGGCGGCACTAGCTACAACCTTCTTTTTGGAAGATTTTCTCTTCACTCTCTCCATGGGCTTCAATTCATGCTTCAGATTCTTCATGAGTCTAAGGGACCTACTTCCCTCCTGCTTTTCTTCCTCATGTGGCTATATCCTGCATCTAGATGGTGGTTTTTAGGCTCTTTCTTCACTGCTTACCACTCCACCATCTTGGTGCTCCCTTGAAGGCATAGTTTTGAAAAGCACTTGATTCTAATGTTTAAGAGCTTTGGGGGAGATGCAGAGAGGACAGACAATGGTGTGTTTAATTTAATTAATGATCTGATTAGGTGTATCTTTAAGAAAAAGAAAAGAAAACATTAAAAAGTAGAATGCTCCAAAATGATGTGACTCATTAGCTTTAATAAAATCTAAGAGAAAGTAAAAAATAAATAAATAAAAAGAAACTTCAGACCCACCATTGCACATACAAAAAGAAAGAATTAAAGTTGCACACAGATAAAACTTATCTAAGTCTTCACTCTGTTAGCAGCTATTGTTGAAACTAGTGATGAGCAGTTATTTTCTTTCCGAGCCTTGCTTTTGTATGTGTAAAAAGAGAAAGAGAGCTCACTAGCACATAAAATGAGGAGGAGGATTAAATCAAATGAAAGGTGTCCAGAGTATGGCACACTGTGTGCACTCCATGCACTATTTCCTACATTGCAATTACCTCTTTAAGACTCAGAGAGAAGAATCCAACAAGTTCTCAGTGTTTGGACCCTTGAGGCTGTGAGCCCGCGCACCAAGGTCCAGGTTCAGTTTTCCATTCATTTGAGTTCCATCACAGTGTGACTAACTAGATTACTAAGTCCAACCAGCTGTGGTTATTGTTTCATTCTCCATAAAACCCAGAGTCTCTCTTTCAGCCTAAGGATTAAAAAGATGAGGTGGCAGTGGGGTTTTACAGGAACAGAGAACATTGCAAGACGTGGGAATATGACCAGATGGACAAAAGAAACCCTGTCTCAAATCTCGCTCACCAGGGAGCTTTGTAAAATTAAAAATTTATTACCAAAACAAAGTCAGCCTTTTAAAAACCAATATTTTAGATAAAAAAGAAAAACCTACATAAGAAAATCCTTAGACCCAGTCCTAGCCCAGGTCCGGTGAGTGTGCGGAGAGCTTCCTACTACCCTAAGCCAGCGGGAACAGTCCCAGCCAAGGCGCAGCATGGGCCAGACCCTATCCCAGCCCCTTGGGCCGCCCACCACCACTCCGCAGTGCCTCCCCCACACAGCCCACCGAGTAGGATTTTCTGCCAAGTTCCAGGAGCCCCCAGACCCAGTTCTAGCCCAGGTCCAGTGAGTGTGTGGAGAGCTTCCTGATAACCTGCACCGGTGGGACCAGTCCCAGCCCAGGCGCAGTGTGGGCCGGACCCTCT